GCTGGACTCCTTAAGCTATGGTGGAAGCAATCAGCCTAAGGGATGGGAACCCCTGAAATAAAAGCTCTGGTCCTCCAGGTTTAGGGGTTGTTCTGTAGGCCAGCACCCTGCACACGTAAAACATCACACCGCCAAAAATCTCAATTATAGGAATGCTTCGGATATTTCAAAAGAGAAACGACATCAGCAAAGGAAATGGACTCTGAATATTGGTATATGGAACTTGGTAATTGGTATTGTACAAAGTATATCAAATAAACAACAAGAAGTAATCCAGGAAATGATGAGAAGAAACATAGATATAGACCAATTATCACAAAGTTTAAAAAAAAATGTTTCATATAATAACATTTCCCATGAAAATCCGTTACATTGCCTCTTATAATGATAATCTTCTATGTTTGCAAATTATAAAAATGTTCATGAATTCAAGATATTCAAATTTTTTCTTCACGGAGTCTCATAGGTGGACTCGAATCTACATTGCTGATTCACAGAATTCGCGCACAGCCTGTCGCTCTCGAGCGCGCCACTTACTGAGCGTTATAGTGGCAACTCCAGAATGCACCCCAGCCAAAAGAAGAATGACATTGGTTAAGGTGCAGGAAAGACAGAGATCCAAATAATCTGAGCATCATGGACTTAATTGAAAAGGCTGCCGAGCCGCTATAAATCGTATTTTCCTTACTGTAGTACTCGGTTCCCGCATACATGTACCCGAAAAGATATAGTCAGACAATTGTGTCTTCACATTAATCGTAGAACCCCCAGCCCGCCCCCCAATAACATCGACCCCGCCTGCGAGTCGAGTCAGGAACGCCGGGCCTCGGCCAAGGACGGCCGCTAGGACACTGCCCCACTGGAACAGTATTTCTCTTGGCTTCTAAAATAATCTCTGTGGGTCTGGAGGAGTCGAAACGAACGCATCCTTTACTTTCAAACTCCGCTTGTTCCATACAACGATTGTGCATTGCTGTGGACACTCACCTCTTGTCCTAAACGCAGATTTTGTTATGAATGTACGGACATAAAAATGGACGACAAACAGTGCTCGAATGCAACTATGTTTGGCAAATGGCGTCTTGTGACGGCGCCGCCAGAGCCCATAGGAGTAGAATATATTGTACTCTCTCATATGCAGGAGCCTGACGGAGGTTGCAATCTCGTTGCCCAGCGTTATCTATTGATCAATTTAAACCCGACAATATTCTTTTCGATATTTACGTCCAGGCCATACTATCGCTGGTATTCTAGTAACTGATCTCCCTTTGCAAAGCATCGTACAGGCAGTAGTATGTAATCGCATGGTCGGCATCATCTTTCCGCTCCGTAGATCAAAAACTATGTGAATACTCTTCCGATCTTTGCGTGTCCAAGTAGTATTGCTGCATTAAGATTTGAGACATGGGCAAATACAGAAAAATGCCTGAAAACAGTCCAATGTGGTTATATACAAGGCTGTGCTTGAAGACAATTGGACCACCTTGGCACTATATAAAATATTTTTACCAAATCTGATAGAAAGCAATCGTTCCTTTTGTATTGGAAATTTTCAAAGGGGTAATTTTAGGGGAATTTATCCACTGTTCTCTCTTGATTGTAAACGTTCCAACAATATAAAGAAAAATTCCCCTACCAAAAGTTTGATCGCGTTCACAGTCTACTCCGTTCGTGAGCTAGCAAACTGTAATCTGAGCTGGATTGCTATATAAAATCCGAGAGAGGCTTTTCTCACTTTTAAAGATAAGACATTTTATTAGAAATTACCAGTTGAAGAGAGATCGAATGGACTTTGATGTTTTCATTATAAAAGTTTTGTTACGAGCTCATTAATTTAAAGAATTAGTATAGATTACAGAAGGTAAAAACAAAGGACTCAAATTTAATTTATAGATCAATGTTTAGGCCTGTCTCCGGGGAGAAAATTTCTGAATGTAAAAATTACTTATGTGACTAAACATCCAAATATAACAAATTTCAAATGTTCCTAAATTGATTTGATCCTGTAACTTTGTGGCCCTCCCTGATGCCTAATCCCAGACCGCCACTGTTCTGGATCGGGGACGACAAGTTGTAGACCAGCTATCGCAAGGTTATCGTTTGTCGGATCTTTTTGCGACAGCCCGCCCAGTAAAAAGTGGGTCCCACAGATTCTCGATTGGGTTCAAATCGGGAAAGTTTGTGGCCAGGGAGTACTGTTAAACCCAATCCTGATGCTCTTCAACCATGCACTACACGCTGAACTGTATGACACTTTGTATTGTCCAAATGTAGACGCCGTCTTGCTGAGAAAAGATCTGCAAAATAGTGGGAAATGTTCCGCAATGAGACATACTTCTTTGATCATTTGTGCTTCTAAATGACCCGAGATCACTGAGGAAGCACGAAAACATCACCATACCATCACACTCCCTCTCCCGGCCATGGACCCGTCCGGCGAATAATTGCAGGATGATTTGCAGTTCAGACATTTCGCGTCGTACACGGCCATTTGTCCGATGCGAGCCTAGCATTTTGTTCGATTTCATACAGCTTGGGCGGGAGTCCGAGCAGAAATCTTTGATTCATCTGTAAGAGTCACCTGTCACACGCCAGTTAAGGTCCAGTTTGCCGTGGTTATCGTCATGTAAAATTCCAGGGACTTGCGCAAAGTGCACAATCAACGCTACCTTGATGCTTTAATAACCACGCCTGCTGGCTGGGACGAGCGGGAGCGCCGTGGCAACGGCGGCGCGTCTTCGGCAAACCTTCGGCCCGCCCCGAAAAGTCCGTCGGTAAATCGCTCTCCCTCGGCGATCAACTCCGCTGGCCCCCACCGCAACGGCCAGAGAATTCGCCGGAGTCCCACCCCCCTTTCCCCAGCAGTACAACAATGTCTCACTGCACCACACGAACGACGCGCGATTGACCGCCGTCAAGCGGTCCAGTGCTCAGCAATCCCTCTCAATCTGCGCGCGAAGCTACACATACGGCCCGGTGCTGCATTACACCGGGCAGAAAATAAACACGTTCGCGTCGCACACGGAATTCCGTATTAATGTTTTTGATCTTCCGGTTTTTTTTCTTTTTTCTTTTTCTTTTCTTTTTTTTTTTTCCCTTCTCTCTTCTCCCCTCTTCTTCTTTCTCTCTTCTTTTCTCTTTGCCTCCTTTCCCTTCTTCCTCTTTCTGCTCTCTCTTCTTTCTATCTCCTCTCTTACCTTTCTCTGCCTCTCTTTATCCATTGAGCCTGGCGCCACTCTTCCTCTTTTCGTTTTTTTCCTCTTCTCTCCTCCGATCCTTCTTTCTTATTCGCTCTGCTGTTCCTCTCACCCTTCGGCTCTGTTTTCTTTTTTTTTTTCCTCTGGTCTTCCTTCTCTTTTTTTCTTTTTTTTTCCTGTCCGCTCTCCTCTCTCTCCCCTTCTTCCTGATTGTTCTGCCAAGCGTCTTCTCTGCTCCCCTGCTTTTTCATTTCCTCCCCTGGCCGGCCCTTTCCCCCCCTTTTTTTTTTCCTGTTCCTTTTTCTGCGCGTGTGTTTCCCTCTTTCGCCCTTCCTCTTCTGTTTTCCCCCCTTTTTTTTTCCCTTTCTTTCTTTGTCTCGTTTTCGTCTGCCCTTCC